GAAGAATGCAAGATGAAGAAGCGAAGCAGGTATTTATCAGGGAGGCTGTTGAGCCAACAGCAAACAAGTACAGACTGGGTTTGAGACTTCAGCAGCTCGCTAGCAAAACTTCGAATTCATATTCCGCACTTTCACCGACGATTATGATTATTCGCGTAGCGTTTTAATTGTTATTTCAGCTTGTCTTCAGGGGCTCATATAAGGCGACCATTGACGAAAATGTTTAGTCGCATAGTCCTTACGACTATTAATGAGCAAAATAACGGAGGAGTCATCGACTCGATTAAATATTCAGTCACATTCGGTTAGCTCAGCATAGTAATCGACCAACTGAAAAAGTGAATCTTCTTCACGTTCTTCTCAGTGGGCGTGTTATTATGGGCACATGTTAACAGAGACATCGAATGGCACTTTACATGCATATGAAAACCCATAAAAAACACCGGATTTGTTAACATGTTTCGGTCGATTTTAATTCGCCAACTAAAGCGAATTGGCAGCAAAAACGCGCGTTTTTCCTAACCGCTCGAAGCGATTGCATGTCGCTTCCTCTTGCAGTATTCGGAGGCTTTTTTTCATTTTTTGCATAGTTGGGGATTTGTTCGTCATTTATTCAACACACGCATCAAAGGATTCTTGCGAACCACCCAAGTTCATCACGTTTTCATTGCTTGCTACCCTATTGGGCAACCGATCCTTAGGGCTTTGTTCGCTCAAATAGGGCAGAACAAATCTGGTTTTCCCGGAACGTTTGCTTTTTATGGCTCAAAGCTTCGCGGATTTCTTGAGAAAAATTGTCGTTGCAACTCGACAGGCTTTTAAGTCTGGAGTGGAGCCTTTGCACATAAAACTTAGCCCGATTTTGCCATCGTTTCACTGTAAAGAGTGTTTGCAAAACTTTCAGGTTTCCAGCTAAATGGTAAGTGCAATTAATTTTTTAATTGCCCCATTAGGTCATCCTGCGATCGAAAGCAAAGTGCAAAGTTGGTGCGAATTTCGATGCCGACCTTGCACTAACGGTTCTATGCATTGAACAACCTTCAGGAACCGTTCCAGGCCACTAATTTTACTTCCGGCTTGGGCTGCTGGTTACTAAAATGAATGTGATCACACACATTATACGGCAAAAATCCCATTGTACATGCAAATTAAACCTCGATCTCTATTAAGGTAAATTGGCTTCTGTCTGAGTGAATTTTCGCGATCAGAAACGACTGTTTTAGGACCTTAAACCCATCGCATAATGTAGGCCGACTGCTCGATTGGCCATATGCAGTTTCTCACTGAACAATTGCAAAAAATAAATGAAATGCACTTATGCAGGCGACTAAAGTATGGCCTACTAAATTTTAATCTGTTTTTTAAGCAGCAACAAATTCGTTGATGTGTATTTGCGAAAAAGATCTCAGCTCCAATTTGCAAGATTAAGCCTCTGTATAAGGAGAGTGAGATATTAAGTCACCTTTAAGTGGGCATAACGGGCTGGGAGCCTGATTGCGAATTTTATAAATAGGGTTTTTGACCAAACGGGTTGAGGATCCTATCTGGTACCGGTTTCTACAAATGGTGCACAATCATACAAAAGCCACTAACAAATTACGGTTTTTTACATTTCGCATGTATTAGTTGTTTTCTTAAAGAATTTGTGGCAATCGAGTGCACAGCAACAGCGTAAAGTATTGGAGCCGAAGACTTTTTAGAAAGAAATTTTACAAGGATCTGTACTTTACATATTGGGAAAATGAAGATGTGAAGGGCAAATATATAGACTAGAAGATGCCCCACAAGGAATAAGTACAAAGCGAAAATTTTCCCAATTTTCGCCAATTTCGTGCCTCAAGCAGGCTCAAGTTAGGAACTTCGCGAGGATTTCGCAGCAAAGGGCAACAACTTTGTCATAAATCGGGAAAGTTTCAATTTTCCACCATCATCAGGGAGTTTTCCCGGATTTTTCAAAATATACTGTGAAAATTGGTAATTTTTTCCACAGCAAAAATGTCCATTGACCTAAAAAAAATTGTTCCTCATACAACAGTTCCGCTAGAAACCTCCGGGACACTTCATTGGAAAGCCCAAGCTATTTTCCAAAAACCCTGCATGTCTCATTTTGCAATCTTACTCAGGGAGGGATTTGGATGGAATTTTCCAAGCTTGCTACTTGTCCATGAACAATTTTGTCGATTTATATTCAAAAACGCGTATCTCCGGAAAAAATCAAGACAGAATCTTGCGGACCATTGCAGTGGTAAAAGCAACCTCTATGTAATAAAACCTGAAATTGTCAACTCGCAGCCCTCATCAGGGATTTCAGGGGAAACTTTCAAATTGGGTTAATTGTTTCCGAGCAAAACTGTCGATGTGTATTCAAAAATGCGTTTCTCCAGCAAAATTCAAGGAACAGGGTTTCGGAGAACTTCAATCAAAACAGAAATATTCAGTTCATAAATTGCGAAAGTTTTGATTCGACACCATCATCAGGGATTGCGCAAGAATTTCTCAAAATTGGTTTGTTGTTCACGAGCAAATCTCTTGATCTACATTTAAAAATTCGTATCTCCGGTCAGTATCAAAACACAAGATTTTGGAGGACTCCGTTTTAACGTGCAACATCCGCTCCATAAATCCCGAAAGTTTCAATTCAGGACCATCATCAGGAATTTCAGAGGGAATTTTCAAAATTTGTGATCTTTTCACAAGCAAAACTGTCGATTTATCTATAAAAATTTGAGTGTTAGGGAAAAAATCAAGACGCACTTTCTCTAAGGACCTCATTGGAAGATTCAACGTTAGTGTCATAAATTCTGAAAGTTTCAATTCGAGACCATCATCAGGGATTACAGAGGAAATTTTCAAAATTGATTTATTGTTCACGAGCAAAACTGTTGATCCATCGTAAAAAAAATCGCATATGCAGTAAAAATCAAGGATCGTTATTTTGGGGGCCTCCATTTTAACGAGCAATATCCGCTTTATCAATCCTAAAAGTTTCAATTCGAGTCCATCATCAGGGATTACAGAGGAAATTTTCAAAATTGATTTAATGTTCACGAGCAAAACTGTTGATCCATCGTAAAAAAATCGCATATGCAGTAAAAATCAAGGATCGTTATTTTGGGGGCCTCCATTTTAACGAGCAATATCCGCTTTATAAATCCTAAAAGTTTCAATTCGAGACCATGATCAGGGATTACAGAGGAATTTTTCAAAATTGATTTATTGTTCACGAGCAAAACTGTTGATCCATCGTAAAAAAATCGCATATGCAGTAAAAATCAAGGATCGTTATTTTGGGGGCCTCCATTTTAACGAGCAATATCCGCTTTATAAATCCTAAAAGTTTCGATTCGAGACCATCATCAGGGATTACAGAGGAAATTTTCAAAATTGATTTATTGTTCACGAGCAAAACTGTTGATCCATCCTAAAAAATTAGCATATGCCGTAAAAATCAAGGATCGTTATTTTGGGCCCTTCATTTTAACGAGCAATATCCGCTTTATAAATCCTAAAAGTTTCAATTCGAGACCATGATCAGGGATTACAGAGGAATTTTTCAAAATTGATTTATTGTTCACGAGCAAAACTGTTGATCCATCGTAAAAAATTCGCATATGCAGTAAAAATCAAGGATCGTTATTTTGGGGGCCTCCATTTTAACGAGCAATATCCGCTTTATAAATCCTAAAAGTTTCGATTCGAATCCATCATCAGGGATTTGAGAGAAAATTTTCAAAATTGCTGAACTGGTTAACAGCAAAACTGTCGATCTATTGTTAAAAAATCGTGTCATTACCAAAAATCAAGATAAAATATTTTAAAGGGCTTCAAAAATAAGTGTGACGTCGGCTTTAAAAGTTCTGAAAGTTTCAACTGTCGAGCATCATCAGGTATTCCAGCGGAATTTTTCAAAATTAGTTTATTGTTCACGAGCAAGTTGGTGATTTACATTAAAAAATTCATATCTCCAGTCAAAATCAAACTACGAGGTTTTGGAGGACACCATTTTAGTGTGCAACATCTGTTGTATAAATCCTGAAAGTTTCAATTCGAGACCATCATCAGGAATTTGAAGAGGAATTTTCAAAACTGCTGAACTGGTCACCAGCAAAACTGTCGATCTATTGATAAAAATTCGTGTCGTCACCAAAAATCAAGACGAAACATTTCTAACGACGTCGGCTTTAAAAGTTCTGAAAGTTTCAACTGTCGGTCATCATCAGGTATTGCAGCGGAATTTTTCAAAATTGGTTTATTGTTCACGGGCAACCCTGTTGATATGCATTTAAAAATTCGTATCTCCAGTAAAAGTTCAGACGGGATTTTCTCGGGGGTTCCCTTGGGAGGAGCAAGTTCCGTTTTATAGACGGTGAAAGTTTCGGTTCGTTACCCCCCTCAGGAATTTCGTAGCGAATTTTTCAATTTTTCTTGAGCACAAATGTTGATGTTAGCTGGACGCTGCTGGGCTACTTAAACCGTTTCAAAGAAAAGTACAAGTTGGCTTAAATAAACCCAGAAAGTTTCAACTTGTTCATCATCAGAGATTTCCTAAAAAAAATTCAAAGCTCATTAATTTTTCACGAGCTCGTATCGTGACAGTGAAAATCCATCCTTAAAGGATGTTTTTTTTTCAATTTTCACCGTTGTTTTCCAATTAGTTCCACATATAAGTCCTTATAAAGCGACGGTGATGGCGTGTGCTCAAATATGCCAATAAGCATATAAAGCAAACACTTCTGGCCGGCAGGACTATGCATAATTATTACACTACATGGGCGATTACAAGAATGGAACAAATATCGGGGACACGGCATCTTGTTCTCCCCGATTATGTAACGGGAGTTTGTTTATAAGCGCGGCTTAATAATGGATATTGCGCCAAGAAAAATCCGCATTGTTATAATGATTTGTTTGCTTATCTTAAAAAATTCCAATTTAACGGTTGTTTTGTGCTCATTATGCCTAATTTTAGTGTTAATGTGCATGTTTTCTTTCATTTTCAGACTGGTCAATCCTTTGGCGGGATTGGCTTTGGTATCAAACGCGAAGTTTTCTTTCTAAACCTTGAGGACGGATATTTTGGCTGTCAAGTGAACGAATCGACGGACGTTCTACAGCTATTCGAACTGTCGAAACTATGTGATGGAGCTCCGAATTGTTTTCTGGGCTCTGACGAACTGGCCAAAGAACTGAAATGTACCGGTAAGTGCTAAAAATTGTATTTTTTAGTTATTACGTTCTGAGGGTTCAGACGCTCATTAGAGCAGAAACTGAAGCGTGTGTCTTCTACGGATTGTAAATATTTCAAGTCGCCACTTGCCCTGGATTAGAAGCAATTCATTCTTATTTATTCATATTATTTCAGCGGAGTGAAGCAATTTAAATAGCATTTTGAGGGTTTTTGGAACCATGTGTTTTCTTTAGTTTCAATTTAATTCAAAGTATGAGAGTTTTTAGATTCACATGTCTTTTTTAGACTGTAAAAATTCCAACTTTTTACGCTCCCTGCATGAGAAATCAGGAATTCTTATTCAAGAGTATACAGTAGTGCAAATTTCTTGTCGCCACGTTAATTTTTAAAGCAAGTTTTGCGAAAAGCTAAAAAATCAGTGTTTGAGGCGATTTGAATTAAAAATGTATAATTTTTTGTGACGTAATGCTCGCTATAAACTGTAAAAATTTCAAGTCTCTACTCGTTCCAGTTGAGAAGAGGGGAATGTTTTTTGCAGATCTTGCAGCGCCCTGAAAACGTCAATTTTTTATCACACTTTGCAGAGGCTGCAAAAATCAGCATTTGATGCAATTGTGATAAAAGTTTGCAGGGATTTAGCCTCATGTGTCTTCTTCAGTATGTACGAAGTTGAAGTTCTTCCTTGCACTGGATTAGAAGTTACGAATTTTTATTCATGTGGTTGCAGATGGGTGATTACGTCACTTTTTCCTAACGTTTATGAAATGAGCAAAAATCAGCATTTGATCCGATTTAAATGAAGTTTTTGGAGTTTTTTGCCACAAAAGGTTTCTTTAAATGGTCGAAATTTCGAGCCCCGTCTAGCCCGAGCCCTGCAGTTGGATTTTTTAAATTGAGAGTCTGCAGCTGCTCAACTGCAAACCGTTTATTTTTCGACTGCATTTTGCAAAAGGCGCAAAAGTCAGCGTTTGCTTGAATTTAAATGATTTTTCTGCTACTTGTATATTCATCTGTCATCTTCCGATTGTGACAATTTCATGTTGTTACCAGTTCTCGATTGCAAGTTACGAATTT